GAATCCCCAGTAACTCCTCATTACCACCACTTCTCCTCCCCCACTCCCCAGCTCTAGACAACCCTAATCTACTTTCTATTTCTATAGATGTGCCTGTACTGGACATTTCATATAAAAGGAGTTAAATAACATATGGTCTTTTGTGGCAGGCTGCTTAGCATAGTGTTTTCAAAGTTCATCCATATTGCAGTGTTCTCAGCACTTCATTTCTTGTTGCAGAATAATATTACACTGTATGGATATACTACATTTTGTTTATCCAGTCATCAGTTGATGGACATTTGGATTGGTTTCACTTTTTGGATATTATGGATAATAACTGCTTTTGAACATTCATGTGCAGTTTTTTGCCCTGGATGCTAGTTTTATAAACTTTTTGAAAGATTTTTATAGATTTAGACCTTATATTAAGATAGATGATGCATTTTGTTTGTCATTACTGGTGTGAGGTAAGAAGTGGCAAGGTAAGAATCTATCTTATTCTTTTGCTTATACATATCCAGTTGCCCTGGCGCTATTTCTTGAAAAGACTCTTCCAATGACATTGTCTTGGTATCTTTGTCAAAAAAGCAATGATGATAAATATAAGGTTTTATTTCTAAATCAAAGATTCTGTTCCATACAGATCTATTTGTCTCTTCTTATGACACTACTGCAGTACATTGATTGCCACCACTTTGTAGCAAGTCTTAAAATTGGGAATTATGAATCCTACAGTTTTGTCTTCTTTTTCAAGATAGTTATGGCTATTCTGGATCTTTTGTATCCAGATAGATGAATTTTAAGATGAGCCTGATAATTTCTACAAAAATAGGAGCTGGGGTTTTGGTAGGGATTCCATTAAGTTTGTAGATCAGTTTAGGGGTATTATCTTAACAATATTAAGTCTTTCGGTCCATGAATGGGATTTTTTTTTAAGATCTTTAATCTCTTTTGACAATGTTTTATAATTTTCAGAGTATAAGTTTTGTACTTTAGTTTTTACAGTATAAGTTTTATACTTTTTATTAAATGCTTTTGTACTTGTTTAAACAATTTATTATTTTTGAGTGGTATGGTATTATAAAAATAATTTTCTTAATTTTGCTTTGTTCATTGTTGGTATATAGAAATACAATTCTTTTTTGCATGTGGATATTGTATCCTGAACCCTGCTGAACTCATTTAATAGCTCTAAAAACTTTTCAGTGGGTTCCTTAGGATTTTCTGTATATAAAATTATCTCATCTGCAAGTGGAGGTGGTATTACTTATTCCTTTTTAATCACATTACTAATTCAGTCTCTTTGTAATTGATCTACTCAGGTGTTCTTTCTCCTCTTGAGTTGGATTAAGTAATTTGTGTCTCTCTAGATATTTTTCCATTTAATCTGTTTTATCTGATTTGTTGGCATATAGTTGTTTATGGTTTTCCCTTATAGTCCTTTTTATTTCTGTACCATATGTATAGTGATGTCTCTTCGTTAGTTTCTGATTTTAGGAATTGGGCTCATCTCTTTTTTTCTTGTTCAGTCTAACTATAAGGTTATCAATTTTATCATCTCAACCAATTTTTAGTTTCATTTATTTTTCTCTCTTGTTTTCTGTTCTTTTTGTTGTTGTTTCCTGTTCTTTTTTATTTTATTTCCACTCTAGTCTTTATTATTTCCTCCTTCTGCTTGCTTTGATTTTAGTTGCTGTTTTTCTAGTTTCTTAAGGTGGAAGACTTAGTTATTGATACAAGATCTTTTCATCTCTTTTTAACATAGGCATTTATATCTATAAATTTACCAGTCAGCACTGCTTTGCATGCATGCCATCAATTTTGGTATGTTATATTTTCATTTTCATCATCTCTAGGAGTTTTCTTATAACCCTTGACGTATATTCTTTCAGTTATTTAGGAATATATTGTTTCATATCTACATATATGTGAAATTCCCAGAATTTTTTTATTGATTTTAATTTCATTGCATTGTGATTGGAAAATACATTTTGCCTAATTTCAGTCCTTTCAAGTTTATTGAGGCTTGTTTTCTGACCTACCATATGGTCCATCCTGTAGGATGTTCCTGTATTCTATAGAAGAATATGTGTTCTACTGTTTTGTGGAGTGTTGTATAAATGTCTTTTAAGTCTAGTTCCATTTACAGTCTTACTGAAGTCTTTTGTTTCCCTGTTGATATTCTCTTAATTGTTTTGTCCATTATTGAAAGTGGGGTATTGAAGTCGTCAACTATGATTGTAGAAATGTCTGTTTCTGCCTCCAGTTCTATTTTTGCTTCATGTATTTTGAAGCTTTCTGTTAAGTGCATGTGTATTTTTAATTTTCATATCTTCCTAGATTGACCTTTTAACATTATGAAATGTCTCTTTATCACTAATGTTTTTCATTTTGAAGTTTAATATTAATATAGCCACTCCAGGTTTCTTGGTTACTGTTTGCATGGTGTCTTTTTCCATTTATTTTACTTTCAGTGTTATTTGTGTCTTTGACTCGAAAGTGCATTGCTTGATCATTTGTTTGTCTTTTAGTGATTTGGCTGAACTAATCCTGCAAAGTCTATTTCCTTACAATGTGTGCAGCCTTGGCTCTCCCTGCTCAAAAATTGTAAAATGTTTTTTATCTTTTAGCAGGGCTACCACAGGTTCTCCTCGGGGTTGGCATAATCTATCATTAATCAAAGTGTGTACTTTGGCCCCCTTAATCAGTTAAGTTTTTGGTTTTGGATGTGTGTGTGTGGCTTAGAGGTCTCTGTCATATTCAGAGTGTTTGTTTTTGTGTTGTTGTTTTTTTTGTTTTTTGTTTTTTGTTTTGTACCATGTTTACCCAGAGACTAATAGCTTAGAGTTTTCCTCTCTGGTTATTCCAAAAAGGGTACAATATTGGATATACACAGTCTTCTAGACTGCCATGGTTGACTGGACGTTGTTTTTAAGTTGTGGCTTCCTAGGAGTTAACCCTGAGTTCAGGTAGAATATCTGTGAGACTTTACCTTGTGTTGATAGGTCTACATGCTTTCATGTCTGTCCTGTATCTTACTCTGATAGCTCTCATGTGGGTACAAGGTAGTACCTGTGCATATGCTTCTTGACCCATAGACTTCACTGTGTTCCCAAGAGGACCCTTCTTGGCTATCTCTTCCTACTTCTCTCCATTAAAACTTCAGGCCACTCTGCTATTTTACTTGTGTCTGGAAGTGCTAATTTCTCTTAATGACTTTCCACCATGCTCTTTCTTGTTTTTGACAAACCCATAGGCACGGAGTTGTCCAAGCTCTGTTTCAAAATCAAATCATTCCCCTCGGGCAGAGCTGCTGCTGAATTCTTTGTCTTTATGACCTGTTTCACCCTAAGCAGAACACAAGTAGTGGCCAAACTCTGCCACTATACCTCACCTGGGGTCAAGGACCAACTTCTCTTGGAGTATAACACTCTCACTCTAAAAGTGAACAGTTAGAGAGAGATTGGCAGTTCTTCATCTTCTTAGCTTTCCCCTACTGGTGTGAAACCTCTAGCCTACTGGTAAGCTAGCATGGGGAAGATTGGGACAAACTCAGCCTTTTGCACCTAGAGCTTCCATTGTAAGAGAGGAAGCTGGATGAGTTAAGGGAGACATGGTTCTCTTAGCCACAGCTGCCTGGAATAGATCTTATGCAACATGGAGCTGAGGAAGATGAGAAACACAGCCAGCAGCCTGTGTCTGCCAGGGTGAAATCATATTCCCAGTCTGGGAACTGGAGGGGAGAGGGAACCCTTATCTTGGCCTGAGTTGAATGCCCAGGGTAAAGGTATAATGTGGAAGTAAAGAGGTGGAGTGAGCAGTTGTGGCTCAGATACCAACGACTCACTCTGTTCTTAGTAGATTGGTAGATTTTCTTGAATGAATGTTTTTCCATTTGCTATATGTCCTAAGGATGATATGCAGAGACTTAAAATGATTTTTCTTAAAAATCATTTTCACTACTTAAATTGATATTTTGCTTGGGAAAGGGTCCACCAAGATATTTAATCTGTAATTCCGGAAGTTTCCCTTGCCCCCCAAATTATATTTTATTACTTAGATTATCCTAACAATACATTGAATATACCAAAAGTTACCCAAGTTTTCACCACATAAAGTGAAATATTGCTATTAGTGAAAGCAGCTAAAATATCTTTGTTCCTGATTTTAAGTTGCTGAAATTGAAAACCACAACCATGACCTTACAACTTCCTCAAGATATGTGGGAAAAATCTGGTTATCTGACTAACTTTTTAAAGTAATTTCAATTCTTACTTACTTGTTGTTGGATATGGTTTGTTTGCTTACTTTTTAATTTATACATACTATAGTAGTGAAAACATTACCTCTGATCATAAAGTTTATTAGCCCATGCTTTGTTAAATCAATCACTTGGACCAAATGTAGTGTGCCCTAGTTAACTTGGAAAGCCAAATGGCATACAAAAAAATTTGTTTTTATGAACATTTTTAATTTGAGGGAGATCTAAAAAGAAAATATCTGAGAACTTGTCACTTATTCCATCCAGTTCTATAATATTTATGTATAAATTTCTTATTCTGTACTTTGAAGAAAGGGATCGTTTCTCAGTCATCTCTGTACTTCTACTTAGTTTTATTTCTAAAACACATCTGTTTATCTCTGAGATTTGACCACATTGCACAACAGATAACTCCTCAGATGCTTCATGCATTCACCCATCTTTCCTGATGATACTCTTACTCCTCTTCATTTGTCAGATCTCACTTTCCTTTACCCAATTCATTTGTTACTTTCTCTCCTTTAAGTGTTTCTCTGTTTCTCCAGTCAGAAGTAATCACACCTTTCTTTTGTTCCACTGGCAAGTTTTAACTTTTTTAATTTTTTACTTATAATTGCATATCTTTCTCAGGAGATTATAAGATTTAATGCATCTTCATCTTTTAATTGCCACATACTTTGTACATTGAACTTATTAATTGGATGAATGAATAGATAAATTAATGATTAAGTAAACGGTGTAACCTTTTGTTTTACAGTCGAGAGACTCACAAGATTGCAGTATTTTATGTTGCTGAAGGACAAGAAGATAAACATTCCATTCTCACCAATACAGGAGGAAGTCAAGCATATGAAGATTTTGTAGCTGGTCTTGGTTGGGAGGTTCGTTTTTAAATTATATCAGATATCACTGTATTTTTATTTAGAAGCAATGGTTTTCTATTTCTTTCTAGCTTATTTTAGAAGAATTACTTTAAGATACTCAACACCTTAATGCCAGGTTTGTTATTGTTTCTGCTTTATATTTCATCTTCATAATCTTTTAATTTTATTTATTTATTCATGAGAGACACAGAGAGAGAGGCAGAGGCACAGGCAGAGGGAGAAGCAGGCTCCATGCAGGAAGCCCAACGTGGGACTAGATCCCCGGTCTCCAGGATCATGCCCTGGGCTGAAGGCGGCGCTAAACCGCTGAGCAACCTGGGCTGCCCTATATTTCATCTTCAAAGACAGGAACAGGTCAGAGTTCGAAAGGAAAGTTGTTAACTTTTTTTTATAAGTGATTATATTGTTAAAGAGTACTAAACTTATTAAACTCATAGGTTTAGGAGATCTGGATTTTCCTCACAACTGTGAACACTAGACAAGGGGTCTTCACACTAAGATATGAACATCTTTAATACTATACCAAGGCTTTTAAGAGTCACATTGGCTTGGTTAGTTTTGAGGAGATTAATTTCCAGATCCTAAATTTAAAGCCTAAGAACGCTTTTTCAGTCTCTTGCCTCATCTTTTCTGTTCTTCAACTCTGTAAAAGAAAGGCATACCACATACCCACCCAAGTCCCACATTACCCCCAGAAAGGTTTGTCACCAAAAAATAAAGTTCATTTAAGAAGGCATGTTCTGAGAAGGTCTCTGACAGCAAATCAAGAAATATTCAAAGGCACTGCACTTTATGTCATCCTGATAACCAGCTCATGTCAAGGTTCCTGTACCAAATATGTGTATCTTAGTATCGTAATTCAGAAGGGAGGTATTTGTCATAGAGACTTGTGTTAATATGTTTACTTAAATTGACACATGAAGTGTCAGACATTTTCTAACAAAGTGAATTTGATGACAGCTGATTGATACATCATTAAGTTAATAGCAGACATTTTATATATATTGTATCAGCCAAATCTGTAGCTCTACAATTTTGATGAATCTATATTTAAAGCACATATACATGTAACATACAGTATACTAGAAATTATAATTTTTGCAACAGTTTAAACTTGTGATGACATTTTTCATTATAGTTGTCAATTTAATACACAGTTTCAAAAAAAATACACAGTTTCTTAAAATTCTTGTAGAGAGTACATGAGCAAAATTGTTGAAGACCACTGTACTAGACTAGACTATAAGACCTTCCTAGAGGGCAGGCACTTTTATCTCATCGATTTTTCTTTTTAAAAGATATCTAGATGCCTTGTACAGTGTTTAGTACATAAGGTTCTAGCATTCAGTATATATATCTTTATGGCTTATCCAACATGCTATTTCCCTTTAAGTGAGTTTCTTGGGGTCTCTCTTGCTATTTGCTTATTTGTCAAATGTAATATATTTTTTACACAGCAGATACAATGTGATGCTCAATTGAAATTAGGTATGTGAAACTGCTTTAGAAATACTAAAGAAAAATTATGAATAGATTTTCTGCTTAAAAAAGAACTATTACTAAAAGCAAGAAACATTTGAAAAAGAAAAAAGTAGTAGTACTTACGCTTCCATATTTTACAACTTAGTACAAGACAATAATAAACAGTATGGCACTTGCACCAAGGATAGACATATTGATCAGTGGAATAGAATTGAGATTCTAGAAATAAACCCATACTTCTGTGGTCAACTAATTTTTGACAAGTGCCAAGACCACCCAGTAGAGAAAGAATAGTCTTTTCAATAAATGGTGCCAGAAAAACTGGATAGCCACATGCAAAAGAATGAAGTTGGACTTTTGCTTCACGCTGTATACAAAAATTAACTCAAAATAGATCAGGGGTACCTGGGTGGCTCAGTGGTTGAGTGTCTGCCTTTGGTTCAGGTCGTGATCCTGGGTCCTGAAATGGAGTCTCACATCATACTTCCTGCACGGAGCCTTCTTCTTTCTCTACCTGTGTCTCTGCCTCTCTCTGTGTCTCTCATGAATAAATAAAATCTTTAAAAAAAAAAAAAAAAAAAAGAGGGATCCCTGGGTGGCGCAGCGGTTTGGTGCCTGCCTTTGGCCCAGGGCGCCATCCTGGAGACCCGGGATCGAATCCCACGTCAGGCTCCCAGTGCATGGAGCCTGCTTCTCCCTCTGCCTGTGTCTCTGCCTCTCTCTCTCTCTCTGTGATGACTATCATAAATAAATAAAATTTAAAAAAAAAAGAATTCATACAAATCATTAATTAGAAACAATTGAATTTTAAAAAATAAGTACCTGAATGAACATTTCTCTTAATAAGATATGCAGGTAACCAATAAGCTCATGAAAAGTCACTTGACATCATTATCAGTGAAATGTAAATCAAAACCACAGAGAGATACTACTTCATACTCATTAGATTGGCTGGAATCAAAAGGTCAAATAATTAATAACTATAGGCTAGAAATCAGAGCAATCTGAATGAACCCTCTTAAACTCCAGTAGGAATGTGAAATCGTGCAACTTCAGTGGAAAGCAATCTGGAAGCTCATCAAATAGTAAAACACTGGGGGCACCTGGGTGGCTCAGTTAAGCATCTGTCTTCAGCTCAGATCATGATCCCAGGGTCCTGGGATTGTGCCCCACTACATAGCAGGGAACCTGCTTCTCCTTCTCCCTCTGCCTGCCACTCCCCCTCATTGTGCTCTCTCTGTGTCAAATAAATAAATAAAATCTTTGGAAAAAAAAAAGTAAAACACTGAATTATTATATGATCAGAAATTCCACGCTTAGGTAGATATCCAAGAGAAATTAAACTGTATACCTGGACCAAAACTTAAGCATGGGTGTTTATAGCATCATTATTTGTAATAGCCAAAAAGGTGGAAGCAACCCAAATGTCTATCAATGGATGAATGGATAAAATGTGATATATTCATATAATGGGATATTATTTGGGCATGAAAAGGAATGAAGTATTTACATGCTCCAATGTGGGTGTACCTTGAAATCATTATGTTAGATGAAAGAAATCAGTCACAAAGAGACGTGTTATGATCCATTTATATGAAATAACCCCATATATACACAAACACACAGACACATATACAGAAAGTAGATTAGAGGTTGCTTAGGACTAGTTGGAGGGATGAGGGAAGATCAGGGTGATCGTTAAAGGGTACAGGGTTTCTTTTTGATGTAAATATTCTAAAATTGACCGTGATGATGATTCTACTTACCTGTGAATATAGTGAAGTCCGTTAAGTTGTACAGTGGGAGCTTTCACTTCGAGGAACATCAAAGAGACATACTCTCCTTATTCTTCACACTAAGTACAACAAAAACTCTGGACATTACATATAAAAACATTAAAAAAAAAACTCCGAAAGGTAGAGAGGAAGAGAGGCCAATTCAGGACCAAGGAATGACATGATGATGGGTTCTCAAGGTTTTGTCTCCTGTATCAACTTGGATCTAAAATAGTAACCTAGAAACATTAACAAGCACTGACCAAAAGAACCCCAACAGAAAGCCCACTTTTTCTAGCCAAAGGACTAGTAAAGGAATGACCTAGAAAGACAGAAAACATTTAGATAATAACTGCTCTGCTCCAGCCAAACACAAAAGACTCCCATCCCCATCCCTGACAACAAAGGTCAATTAGGGAGCCGCCTCGCCTGCCACCCTCATGAGACTCTAATGAGGCATCCCCAACACCACACAGGAATAGTATCAAATAGTGTTAGAGAAGGGCAACCAGAAAGCCAAGACTTTCATCTCTGTCAGCTGGTCAAGTCCCCCATCCACACCTCACACCACAGTGTCAGTGGAGACTACATGAGGAACCTGGAATTCTGTCCCTACCTACTATATATAATGAGGTGCCCCTCTATCCTCCACTGGGATAGATCAGAGGAGGCCTACTGGAGAAGTAGTTCTTTTACCATCACCCAGCAGTAATGAGACTAACCTTACCAGTAATGACACCTTTCCTTAATGGACACCACGTAGGAAGTCAGAACTCCTTCCTCCACCTAGCAGTAATGAAGATCTCCCCTCTGCAGTTGTCAGCGGAGGTTAAGTGGGGAACCTATACTTTGCTGTCCACCTGGCTAGAGTGAGGCAGTATCCACCTTGCTTCTTTGACAGAGCAGTGTGACAAAACAGCCTCCTGAAACAGAAGGTTTAAATAAGATTCATAGTCTTTTAACATAATCCAAAAATATCCAAGCTTTGATCAAAAATCATACCAAGACCAAGTAAGGTCTCAAACTGAATGAAAAGATGACAAAACATACTAACACCAAATAACAAAGATTCTGAGATAACCATAATAGAAATGCTATGACTAGCAATTAGGAACATAGTTGACATAAATGAAAAATAGAAAGTTTCAGTTAAAAAAAAAAAAAGGGAAGATACAAGAAGAACTAAATGGAAATTTGGAACTGAAGATTTAATTGCTGAAACAAAAAACACAGTAAATGTGCCCAGCAAGAGAGTCAGGTAGAGATGGGGGTACAAAAGAATCAATAAACTGAAAGATAGAACAATAAAGAATGTAAACAACAGAGAGAGAAAAGACTTAAGGACAATGAAACTTTTTTTGATGCTTTGAAATGTTTTATTGAATTTTTTTTTTAAAGAACAGTAAATTATGCAGTCTTCCAACCCCGTCCATCATCCCCAGGGATGACCTACTGACATGTTTCATGGTCCACCTGGGAAAGGGACAGCAGGGCCTGGGCTAGGACCCTAGCAGGAGGCCTATGCTGCTATGGCAGCCACTGCAAGTGGCTGAGAGCCCTGGGGTTTCTTCCTGGCAGTTAGGAAGGGGACCTGACAAACCAGCCCCTGGGGACCCAGCAGAGACTATGACAAAAGATTTAACATTCCTCTTATCTGAGTCCCAGCAGAAAAGGTGAAATGAGTTGGGTCTGAAAATTACTTGAAGAAATAATGTTGAAATTTTCCCAAATTTGTCAAGAGAAATAACCTTAATAAAGCTACAGATTGAAGAACCAGGGTGAAACCGAAACAGGATTAATTGAAAGAAATCCATATAAGGCACAATCATAATTAAGCTTTTGAAAAATAAGTCTCAAAAAAATTTTTAAAGCACATGGACAAAAATTGTTCTTTATAAGGGGAAAACAATTAGAATGATAGTGAATTTCTCATCAAATCTATAGTAGTCAGGGACACCTGGGTGTCTCAGCCAGTTAAGCATCTAACTCTTGGTCTCCACTTAGGTTTTGATCTCAGGGCTATGAGTTCAAGCCCCACACTGGGCTCCAAGCTGAGCATGGATCCTACTTAAAACAAAAAACAGGGATCCCTGGGTGGCGCAGCGGTTTGGCGCCTGCCTTTGGCCCAGGGCGCGATCCTGGAGACCCGGGATCGAATCCCACATCGGGCTCCTGGTGCATGGAGCCTGCTTCTCCCTCTGCCTGTGTCTCTGCCTCTCTCTCTCTCTCTCTCTCTGTGACTATCAAAAAAATAAAATAAAATAAAATAAAATAAAATAAAATAAAACTATAATAGCCAGAGAAAGAGGCAATATTTTACAAGTGCTGAAGAAAAATTAACGTCAGCCAGAATCCGATAGCTAGTAAAGGAATGAAGCAAAACATTTTCAGATGAAGGAAAACTTAGAGAACCTGTTGCCAGCAAACCTACCCTAAAAGAACTACTAAAATAAGTTATATTAACAGAAAAATGGTAGAAAGGACCTTGGAACACTAGAAAGAAAGAACATGACAAAGAATATGGGTAAGTATATTAGGCATTACCTCTCCTTTTTGGTTTTCTTAATTCTGTTTGCTGGTTGATGCAAAAATTATTTCTGATGTATTTCTAAATGTAATGCCATGAAAATATTCATGGCAATTATATTACAAACAAATGAAGGTAAAGGGGCATAAAGTGAAGCAGGATATAGACAAATCCACACTTATGGATGGAGACTTCACCTCTTTCTCAACTAAGAGAAGAGCCAGACAGAAAACCAACAATACTATATAGAAGGACTCAAAAGTACTATAAACTGACAGGATCCAACTGACATTTACAGAACACTCTACCCAATATCATCAGAATACATGTTCAAGTGTCCATAGAACATATACCAAGATAGACATATTGGGCCATAAAAAAAAACCTACAGCAAACTTAAAATAATTGAAACCGTACAGTATATTCTCTAACTACAGTGGGATAAAATTTTAAATCATTAATAGATAACAGGAAAATCTTCAAATTCTTGGGAAGGTTACATACTGTATAATTCTATTTATACAACCTTGAAATGACCCATCTTCGTGGTGAAGAACAGATTACTCATTGCTAGGGTTTAAGGGGGTAGAATAAGAGGGAAGTGGTATAGCTCATGTAACAGGATAACATAGGGGACCTTTACGGTGATGAAAATGTTGTTTCTTGAGCATATTAATGCCAGTATCCTGAGGGATTTTTTGTTTTGCATTTTTGAGAGAATACAGGCAAGGAGCAGGGAGAGGCAGAGGGAGAGAGAGAATCTCTCACGAAGTAGACTCCATGCTGAAGCTTAATCTCATGACCCTGAGCTCATGACCTAAGCCGAAATCAAGACTCTAATGCCCAACCAACTGAGCCACCCAGGAACCTCATCCAGTATCCTGATTTTAATATAGTTTTGCACTGGAGAAATCTGGGTACAGAATACATTGGATCTCTTTTTATTATTTTTTAAAACTTCTTATGAATCTCCAGTTAAAAAATTGAATAAAAAAAGATCACCAAGTATTGCAGAAGTGTTTAGAGCAAAGGAACAGTGGAATGAGACTTGTTCTCCATTACATGATCAGAGAGTTGACCTGAAAATAAATAACCTATTCACTAAAACAAAACAAAAGGTCTATACTTAGATACCATTTTTCACCTATCATATTAGCAAAGATATATCATAAGATTTGATAATATATTTGAAAGCTGTGAGGGAAACAGGCATTCTTAAACACTGTTGTTGCTATCTATAGAGAGCCATTTTACTGAGTTTCAAAATTAGAAGAGTGCATGCCCTTTGACTTACAGTTCCACTTTTAACTATTCTATAGATCTCCTTTTACAAATGCAGCATGACCTGTATTCTGTGTTATTTACTGCAGCATTGACTATAATAACAAAAGATTGGAAACAGCCTAAATACCCTTTAAGTAGGGAACTAGTTAATTATTGTACATCAAGAAAATGAACTTCTCTGAAGCCATGAAAACAACAAATGAAGAAGCTCTCTACTTATTAATGAGTACTTTTCAAGGTATTTTAAGTGCGAATCAAAGTACAAAACATTGTATGTGTACACACATACATAAAAGAATTTAATTGGATATATAGAGAACATTTTTGGAAGGATAGTTAAGAAATTGCTTTCAGGGGGCACCTGGGTGGCTCATTTGATTAAGCAGCCAGCTCTTGACTTCAGCTCAGATTATGATCTGAGAGTCCTGGGATTGAGCGCCAGCCACATTGGGTTCTGCACTCAGTGGGGAGTCTGCTTGAGGATTCTTTCTATCTCTCTCCCCCTCTTTTTGCTTGCTCCCTCTGTCTTTCTCTGAAATAAGTAAATTTTTATAAAGGAAAAAAGAGGAGTGCCTGGATGTCTCAGTCAGTTAAGAGTCTGCCTTCAGGGTCTCAGAGTCCTGGGAGAGAGCTGCAAGTCAGGATCCTGGTTCAGTGTGGAGTCTGCTTCTCCCTCCCTCTGTTCCCCCAATGTGTGTTAATCTCTCTCCCCCCCCCAACCCCTGTCAAATAAAATCTGTAAAAAAAAAAAAAAAAAAGGAAATTGCTTTCTGGAAGGGGCACTAAGTAGCTAGAGATGAGAGATGGAAGTAAGAATTTTGGTAAGCTTTTGAAAAAAAATTTTTTTAAAGATTTTATTTATTTATTCATGAGAGATAGAGGCAGAGGGAGAAGCAGACTCCATGCAGGGAACCTGTTGTGGGACTTGATCCCAGGACTCCAGGATCACGCCCTGGGCTGAAGGCAGGTGCTAAACTGCTGAGCCACCCGGGAATCCCCAGCTTTTGAAATTTTAAATACATGAGTATATTACTGAGTCAAGTTTTAAAAAATAAATGAGGCAATCTTATAGTAATGTTGTAAAAACTAATTTGTTATTCAGATGTTTAGCCGTTATAACTGATACTGATAGTTGAGACATGTTCAAGGTCACATGGTGCAAAAATTGGTTTTTATAATTCACTTTATCAGTTATTCAGATTTTGAATTTTTTAATTGAAGTATTAACACACGGTGTTATATTATTTTCAAGAGTACACTATAATGACTTAAAAATTCTGTACATTACTCAGTGCTCATCATAAGTTGACTCAATCACCTTTAGCTATTTTACCCACGCCCCCACCTACCTTCCCTCTGGCAACCACCAGTTCTCTGTGTTTAAGAGTATACTTTTTAATTTTTTTTCTTTTGTTCATATATTCTGTCTTTTAAATTCCACATATGAGTGAAATCATATGGTATTTGTCTTTCTCTTATTTTGCCTAGCGTTAATTATACCCTCTAGGTCCATCCATATTTCAGATTTCATTTTTAAAAGCATGTATAAAGTGTTTTTTCTGAGTAAAGAGATACAGTGTTTAAGTATCTTTCTTTTGTGTTTCTTTTTGCTTTCTAGTATTTTCTTTAATTTCAACAGTGAAGTCAGGTCGCTTTGTGTATTGCACAAGTTCAGGGAATATGACCCAATGCAGTGACCCTGATATTAGTATGTATGTATTTTATTTATAATCAGGAAAAGTATGTGTAAAAACCTTAGCACAGATTAATTTGTAGTTTTTTAATGCATTAGAAGTTCAGTTCTGCATTTTTGTATTTCTGTTCTGAGCTATGTGATAGGTACTAAAAATTAAGACAATTTCCATGAGTAAATCTAACACACATGATTAATCATCTTATCAAAGTGACATTACTGTTTAAACTTTCCCCCACATCACTTCCAGTCTTGATTTTTGCTACTTGATTTTTCACTCTGGCTTTGGTGTCCTCCCATAGCCTTTATGATTTAGTATTAACACCTAATAGCCTAACAAAAGATGCATAGTGTACAGCAGTGATTTCTTTCCTAATTAACTCCTAATTAGAGATCACAAATACTTAAGAAAAAGTTCCAGTATAAACAGAACAGCTCTAACTAATAATTCTGAATCAAGCATTGGTTGATAACATGCTAAAGACTTTCTTCTCCGTGTTTTTTGCAAATTGAGAAATTTGAGTCTATTTCAATAGTAAGTTGTTGAGTTTTGTTTAGTTGATTAATATGTGTATCATTGCTCCCAGGTCAATCTTACAAACCACTGTGGTTTCATGGGAGGACTACAAAAAAACAAAAGCACAGGATTGACCACGCCATATTTTGCTACCTCTACAGTAGAAGTGATATTTCATGTATCAACAAGAATGCCTTCTGATACTGATGACTCTTTGACCAAAAAAGTAAGTGCTGAGAAAAAAAATGAGTTAAAATCCTAATAATTAAGAAAATAAATACATAAAATACGTAAGTAATCTGACCAAAAAGCACTATTTCTGAATATTCCACTTTTCATCTAATACTATCTTGAGAAACAGGATTATTGTAGAGCAAATGCTGTTTTCCTTAATAATAATATTGAAGGTTATTGTCTTAACAAAGGATTTGCCTTCAAAGAAATGGAGGTATGACTAATTGAAAAACATCTGTGTATGTTCAAATTGGTGGAACTATATTTCAAGTCTCTTTACATGTGAATAGACGTAATGGTTATATAGATTGAGGGAGAGCAAAATATATATTCATCATTACAAAACATTTAAAATATAACATGCTTTATCATAAATTTTAACTAAAACTAATTGAGCAGATAAAATAAGCCTTAATTAATGAAAAAAATTTTACTCCGAATTTATGAGAGATGTGGTTTTGATGGCCCTGGTCCTTTAAAACCTACATCACCATTTTTCTGTAGGCAGCACTAGTATTCAGGAGTCATTCTTAAAAAAAAAGTCATTCTAGTGACTATAAAGATACCTCAGGGTACAGTTGTATGTATTCAGTCCACTTTTGGTTTTCTTAGGGAGAAATATTTTTAAGAGTAAAACTTAATCCAACATTTCTTTACCTTCTCTTTCTCCTCCTTCCTCAATTTATTCAAAACCACTAAATGTAACCAACTTAATATCATTGGTCATTTTACTTGATATTCTTTTGCCTGATATCAAAACTCTTTATAATTTATTAAGCTATGAAAACAGTGTATTCTCTCACTCTTGTAAAAGAACTTTAGAACTCCTCTCAAATATTTGATAAGATTGAGTTAATAACCCTTTATGCCTTTTGTTTACAATTTAAAATACTGTTGGAACTTGCCTACTAAATGAGTAATAGTTGATAAAACTAATATGTGGATGATAATGAGGTTGGAATGAGTAGTAAAAGTGGAGGTAATTGATAAATGTAAGAAAATATATTCAGTACAGATTTGCTATAGAATTCCTTGTCACGGATCCCTGGGTGGCACAGCGGTTTAGCGCCTGCCTTTGGCCCAGGGCGCGATCCTGGAGACCCGGGATCGAATCCCACGTCGGGCTCCCGGTACATGGAACCTGCTTCTCCCTCTGCCTATGTCTCTGCCTCTCTCTCTCTCTCTCTCTCTGTGACTATCATAAATAAATTTTCTAAAAAATTAACAAAAAAAAAAATAATTCCTTGTCATGTAGTTTTTAGAGGTAAAAAAATGATCTATGAATACTGACAAGATGATGATGAAGAGGTGAATTGGAGTAAAACTTCATTTAAACTTCAACTAAGCACTTTCTTCCATCAACTCATTTTAAAACTCTATGAAATAAGACATACCTAAATTAGAGACAATTATAAGTATAGTGCAAAAAGATAATATAAGGGGTGCCTAGGTGGCTCAGTCTGTTAAGCCTTTGATTCTTGATTTCAGTTCAGGACATGATCTCAGGGTCATGAGGTTGAGCCCCCTGTGCTGGGGATGGAGCCTGCTTTGGATGCTCCCTCTGTCCCTCCCCCACTCTGTCTTGAGCTTGTGCATGCATGCTCTCTCTCAAAAAAAGAAATTAAAATTAATTTTTGAGAAGATCATTTAATCATTAAGAACTTAGCTGTGACTCATATTTATCATTATCATTTTCATGGCTCCATGAATACAAACAACTTTTTAACCCCAGAACAGAGTCTAAAATTAATGATATCTCATATTACAAACAGAAGAGAACAAAGTACATGATTTTTTGTTTAAAAAATTTTTTTGTTTTTTTAAAGAAAACTATGCCAGGATATTTTTACTTCACTATATTAAACATGATGATTATATGGTACTTGAAATTTTATTCCTGTGACCTTTGTAGAAATGTCAAGTAAGATTTCTTATTTTTTTCAAAACATTCATGAGGGTTTGTCATTAATTTCTTAAGAGTTTCTGAGGGATCCCTGGGTGGCGCAGCGGTTTGGCGCCTGCCTTTGGCCCAGGGCGCGATCCTGGAGTCCCGGGATCGAATCCCACGTCGGGCTCCCGGTGCATGGTGCCTGCTTCTCCCTCTGCCTGTGTCTCTGCCTCTCTCTCTCTCTCTCTCTCTCTCTCTCTCTCTCTCTCTCTCTGACTATCATAAATAAATTTAAAAAATTAAAAAAAAAAGTTTCTGAAATAGATATTTAACAATTCATTATCACAAAAAAAATTAATTTTGGAGAGGATGCCATCATTTAAGAAATGTTAAATGGTTGAATTCTAATTTAAATTGTTAAATGGTAAAAATTTTAAGTACTGGATTTATTAGAGAATTTTGAGGGATTAAACATTGAACATAGTTTTTTCATCTATACATATAGGAATTTTTTTCCTATGGCAAAAATTACATATATTACATATTTACCATTTTCACCTTTTTAAAAAATTTTTTATTTAATTTTTTAGAATTTGGAAATTGTTCTTCATTGATGTGTAATTAATATACAATGTCATATTAGTTTCAAATGTGCACTGTTGTAATGACTGAATAGTTCTATACATTACTCAGTGCTCATCATTATTAATAAGTGTGCTCTTACCACCTTTGTCTATTTCACCCACCCCGCAACCCTTCTCACCTCTGTCAACCACCAGTTTTGTTTTTTTGTTTAAAAGTCTAATTTTCTGTTTGCCCATTTTTTCTTTGTTCATTTGTTCTGTTTCTTACATTCCACATGAGTGAAATCCTATAGCATTTGTCTTTCTCAGACTGACATTTCACTTAGCATTACATTATACCCTCTGGGTCAATCCATGATATCACAGATGGCAAGATTTCATTCTTTTTTATGGCTGAGTAATTTTGTATTGTAGGCAATATATATACACACACACATACAATACAATATTACTTTATCCATTCCTCTGTGATGGACGTTTGGGTTGCTTCTGTATCTTGGCTGTTAAATAATGCTGCAGTAAACATAGAGGTGCGTATGTCATTTCAAATTAGCATTTTATTTTCTTTGGATAAAAACTCAGTAATGGAATTACTGGATCATATGGTAATACTGTTTTCCACAGTGGCTGCATCAGTTTGCATTTATACCAATAGTGCACAAGGATTCCTATCTCTCCACATCCTTGCCATTACTTGTTATTTCTTGATGTTTTTTTTTTTTTAATTGATTCTAGCCATTGGTGTAAGGTAATATCTCATTGTGGTTTTGATTGGTCTTTCCTTCATGATTAGTGATGTTGAGCATCTTTTCATGTGTCTGTTGGTTATCTCTATGTCTTCTTTGGAAAAATGTGTGTTCAGGTCCTATGTCCATTTTTTAATTAGATTATTATTTTGGTGTTGTATGTTTTAGGTATTAATTCATTAGATATATCATTTGTAATTGTTTTCTCTAATTCAGTAGGTTGCCTTGTCCTTTTGTTGATGACTTTCTTTGCTATGCAAATGCTTTTTATTTTGGTATAGTCCCAATAGCTTAATTTTAGTTTTGTTTCCCTTGCCTGAGGAGGCATAGCTACAAAAATGTTCCTATATGACTGACGTCCAAGAAATTACTGCCTGTATTTTCTTCTAGGAGTTTTATGGTTTCAGGTCTCACATTTTGATCTTTAATCCATTTTTAGTTTATTTTTGTATATGGTGTAGGAAAGTGGTCCAGTTTTAATTTTTGCATGCAGCTGTCCAGTTTTTCCAGCACTATTTTTTGAAGAGATTGTCTTTTCTCCAGTGTATCTTTTTGTCTCCTGTGTTGTAGATTAATTGACCATGTAAGCATGAGTTTATTTCTAAGCTTTTCTGGATTATTCCACTGATCTATGTGTCTTTTTATGTCAGTACTGTATGATTACTACAGCTTTATAATATATCTTGAAATCTGGAATTATGATACCTCCAAGCTTTATTTTTTCTCAAGATTGCTTTGGCTATTTGGGGTCTTTAATGGTTCCAAACAAATTTTAGGATTATTCTAGTTTTGTAAAAATTGCTGTTAGTATTTTGGTAGGGGTTGCATTGAATTCATAGATAGCTTTGGGTGTATGGATGTTTTAACAGTGTTGGTTTTTGCAGTCCATGAACATGGAATACCTTTCCAGTTGTATCATCTTCAGTTTCTTTCATGAGTGTTTTATAGTTTTCAGAATGCAGTTTATTCTTAGGCATTTTATTCTTTTTGGTGCAATTGTTAAATGGAATTGTTTTGTTAATTTGTTTTTCCTTTTTTATTATCAGTATAAAGAAATTCAGCTGATTACTGTATATGGACTTTGTATCTTGCAACGTTACTGAATGCATTTATCAATTCAAGTAGTTTTTTGGTGGAATCTTTAGGGTTTTCTATATATAGCATAATATCTGCTAATAGTGACAGGTTTACTTCTTCCCTATGAATTTGGATGCCTTTTATTGTCTGATTGCTGTGGCTAATACTATGTTGAATAGAAGTGATGAGGGTGGATATCTTTGTCATGTTTTTTATCTTAGAGGAAAAGCCTTGCTTTTCAATTGAATATGATGTTAGCTGTGGGTTTTTTATGTATACAGCCTTTGTTATGTTGAGGTATGTTCCCTCTAAATCTACTTTTTAAAGAGATTTTATCATGAATGGATGTTGTACTTTGTCAAATGATTTTTCTCCATCTCTAGTGAGATGATCATAGTTTTTATTCTTTTTTCTTGTTAATGCAGTTATGTTGATTGATTTGTGGACATCAAACCACCCTTGCATGCCAAGGATAAATCCTGCTTGATCACGATGAAAGATTTTTTTAAATGTATTGTTGAACTCGGTTCACTAATATTTTGTTGTGGATTTTGCACCAATTTTCATCAGATATTGGCCTGTAGTTTCCTTTTATGTTTTGTTGGTTTTTTTTTGTAGTTTATTTCTCTTTGGTTTTGGTATCAGGGCAATGCTAGCCTTGTGGAATGAATTTGGCAGCTTTCCTTTCTCTTCTATT